ACAGTGGTTGCATGTGTAACATGTGATAAAGGTTTTGTTTTTTACTGTGTGGGCAATCTGCTAATATAAATCTGTGAAAATCTGCTAGTCAGTGCTCAGAGTTTTTATGTATATGAACATGTTTTCCTGCTGTAAAGGGAGATGTCAGATGGTGTTTCTTGTTCTCTCTCAGGTTGGATCGCTATCTTGGGTGCGCTCTGGCTTTTGGTTCTGGCTGACATTCAGGATTTTGAGATCATCTTGCACCGAGTGGAGTGGGCCACGCTGCTGTTTTTTGCCGGCCTCTTCGTTTTGATGGAGGTATTTAACATACAGGCCGAGTTTCTGGCATTTAACGGAAAGCTCGTTTCTATTTTTTTCCAAGGAAATTTTTTGGACCACAAATTGAACAGTGAAAACTAAAAACTGATGCCAAACAACAACTTTTAATTAGAGCCACTTGAAGCATCCAGATCTAAGATAAATGTAGGTTTAGCTGGGGTCTGCTCTGACGAGCAGCTTCACAGGGCACTAAGGAAAAACAGAATCAATGCATAGATTCAATTGACAGTGCAGCTGGCAGTCAGCTCGCAATGAGCAAAGTAATTATCTGTATTTTCACCCATGAGCTTCAATGAAAGGATGCAAAGAAAAGTGTCCTGTCAGCACAGTGAGGGCTTTGTTGTTTCTCTCTTTGTGGGCAAAACTACAACACAGTGTAGAGTCAGTGAAGCAGTGCTCACCAGCACATGAATAATATTCAATCTCAGGAATGATAACAAGGATACATCTGTCTCTGTCTATTTAATAGCCACTAAATGGAAACCAAATTGCTTTTCTTCTTTCGGTTTAATCTCACCTTTAAGTGATTCTCTTCTGATTTTTTTTTCTTATTAATCTTCTCCTCTTCCTTTTTCAGGCTTTAGCCCAGCTGCAGCTTATTGACTATATCGGAGAACAGACAGCACTGCTTATAAAAGTACGTTTCCCCTTTGATTCTGAACCTTTACAGTCATCTCTCAGGTCTCTGTGCGACTGGCATCGCTGATAATTGGGCACAGGTGATGCGATATTGCATTCCATGCATATCGATCCTTTTGTTCTGCCTGGCTCGGAATTCAATTATTTTCTTTGCATCTGACTCCTGCAGGCAGCTGAAGGGGTCTGAAGTAATTTTCACCCATATTCTTGCCTCTGTGCGTCATGCGAGCGAGGTGTCTCTTAGCAGAGAATTGCACCAGTAATAGCTACGTCAGCTTGTGTTTAGACTGCGGGCCCCTGCGAGCCTAATAATGACACATGACAGGTAGTGTGCTATTTGTGGTTTGTGACCCACTCGGTGTCCCAGAACCATGGACAACATGCTGTGAGAGCTGCATGGCCTTTCTCTCTTCGTAGGGCTGCAGGACAGCTGAAATAAAGGAGGAGACTCTGTTTTCCTTACTGTCGCCATGAAGAGGGTTCAAATCACACCGCATGCGGTGAACCAGCTTCGCTGTGCGCCTACAGCACAGATAACACTCAAAGCCACCACCTGTGGTTGTGTCACACATTCAAACAGCTTCATCCTCTCAGCTTCTGCTCCCCGAGGAGGGGTTCGGTGTCAGAGACTGAACATAATTGTTGTGTTTGATTTAAATCAGCGAAGGCGGAGAGAGGGTGTGTGCGTGTGAGCGGCAATAAAAGTAGCAGTTATCTGTCACTCTTATCTCCCCTGTCAGGCGGTGCCAGAAGACCAGCGCTTGGCTATAGCCATTATCTTGGTGATGTGGGTCTCGGCTCTGGCTTCTTCTCTCATTGACAACATTCCCTTCACTGCCACCATGGTAAGAGCCCTGAGCCTGATATCACAGCTGCAGCATATCACACTCTTACACAAACAAGTCACATGCAGATTCTGTGACATGGAAGAGAGGCGATTTATAATGTGTAGCTACAGCAATTAAATGCTGATACAGAAGTTAAAAGATGTGTATCGTTCGGGGAGGGGGGGGGGTTCTTATTAAAAAATACATAACAGGCAGAGATACAACCAGGGATTAGGGCTGTATTATGTATTAATCAGATGTGGGAGGAAAAAAACAGGCTCAACATGTGTTAATCATTTCATAATTGGAGGTTTATTTCTGTAAAAACTGTCTGAACAGCTACTGCCTCACCACGTCTATTGTCAGCTGTCTTTTCCCCCCAAATTAATAGATTCAGCAGAGATCAATGTTTCAGAGGAGTGCCTCTGTGCTCAATTAAAATGACACTGAGAAAGGAGAAAGACGTTATCCCACTGACAGAATGAGATGCTGCCTGTGAGAATTAAACCATCACATTTTTTGACTAGTCAGTGTGTCCATGGGGTTTTTTGAAAATGTCCTTTTCTCTGATTGTTTTTTTTTCGCCCATAGTTTCAGGTCCATGCAAGAATTGCTCTACCTGAAAAGAAGAGCACTTCAAAGCGCGTCACTTTTCAATTCAGTGCACCGCTGATAAGAAGAAAGATGTCCTGATTGGCACAATAGAGTGAGGCTGAGGAAAGATTTGTTTTCCCCCTTCAGTCCGCAGTGATTGAGATTAGGAAATTTATGTATGAATGAATCAATTTAGAAGCATTTTCAAAGCAACAGTTCTGCATTTACACTTATTTGCTTTCTGTGCCAGAGTTACAGGAAACTATTGATACTTCACTCATGTCTGTATATAAAAAAATTACCGATCTTGCAGTGAGAGCATCGAAACAAGAGGTACATCGGAAGAGGACAAACAAATATTCTCCTTAAAAACATCCAACTGTTTGTTCATAATCATTTCAAATGCATTTTTTTAAACTATTTTACCCATTCCTGCAAAAATACATTTAAAGTTTGCTTCCCTAACAAGGGGCAGGCATGTAGATTGATATAAAGCAGCTGTCAAAACTGGTACATATTTCAAAATATGAACAATAATGAATAAGACCAGCAAATAAGATCCTATCAGGAAATACTAGAGGTATATGGAGGCCTTAACTCAACTCAGGCGTAGGTTTGTTTTCTCATACTTTTGTACACTCTCATATACATGTAATTTCACATTGGAGAAGTTGCCCCCTGCTGGGTATTAGAAAGAATTCAGAGAAATAATAATACTTTTCCAAAAGGAGAACAGTCAGGCTTTATTCATCATGGAGTCCATAAACATGTTATTGTATAGCACTTGCGTCATAACCACACACACACACACACACACACACACACACACACACACACACACACACACACACACATCCTTCTTGTAGTTAAAAAAAAAAGCACAAAAAAACCATTTCGCCATATTAAAAACAGAGTATGTAAAATTTCAAGAAAGAGCTGTTTTCATGATTTTAAATCTGTCTCTGCAGATTCCTGTTCTCATCAACCTGAGTCAGGATGCAGATGTGAACCTGCCAGTTAAACCGCTCATCTTTGCTTTGGCTATGGGAGCCTGTCTGGGTGGTAAGTATTGCTTCTTGGGCCTCATATGCTGTATTATAAAAATAGTGCATTGCATGTCAGTTTTGGGAAAAATACACAACAGCCTTCCAGACTCCCTCACAGACATCAGGGACTTTATAGTTTATCCCTGTTTGAAAAGTGTGGATCTTTATTGATGACGGCTGCCAGAAGAAGACAACATATGCTCCAGGTGACAGCCACACTTTGTACAGCTGTGTCGCTCCCCGGGGAGGTCAGGCTGCGCTCTTTGTGGGAGCAGCCTCAGGGCTCTCAGAGATCGCCTCACTCAGGCTCATTCTGCGCCCCAGTGGCCAGCCCTTCATCCGACTGTGGCTCAGCTCCGATGGGAAGGACACAAATGGAGAGAGAGAGCTGTCATAGTGTTTCAGTTTAATCAACTGCACTGTGACAGGTCTTTATCGACTGGCAGTGTGATGTTGCCCCTGCCAAGCTCCATCCTCACACTGACACCTTTTGAGATGTGGGCAGTATTGAACTGCAGGATGGGTACGCGTGCTGACTGTTAAAGCAATGCTTTATGAGATTAAGTCAGAAAAGTGATCAACAGTATTATAAGACTGTAAAGTACTCATGCTCATAATGTTGAAATACTTTACGTTAACTTATGTTTTGCTCCGCTCTATATTTTTATTATTGGGTTCTTCTAGAGCAGCATTGCACGAGTTGAACACGAGTCCTTACTCATCTTCTACTAAACATTGATGCAGCCACTCGCTCCACTCTCTTCCTAAAACAAGCATCCTGTCTCTTTATGGCCTCTCTTCCTTAAAAGCACACGTTCCTGTTACTTCTATTGAGCTTCTGCAAACAGGCTGTGATGGTTCTGTGCAGTGTGTCTTCCTCTTGCAGCGGTAGAGGAAACCAACTGAGAAACATACTGTAATTTCCCATTCTGAAACAGTAGTTACAGTAGAGATTTGTTTCAAGTGTCAATACAAGACAAACATTTCAGAGATGTGTAAGTAACCAATCACTGAAATGTGCTTTTCTAACTCGTCTTCATTTCCCTTTACAGATGAAAAAAAATCATCATCTTCTAACATTAGTCAGCTAAAGATCCACCTTCATAGTGGGCTCTGATTGCAGAAGCTGACTTTCTGGTCTTTATCTGTTTTGTCTTGTTTTTCTGAGAAAAAGAAAACTAATACCCACGGCTCTACTTCTTCAGGAAATGCATAGTATTTCAAGTTTTCTTTTCTGGTCAACCTCCAAAAATGTTTTTAAGCAAACTGATGGAAGTATTTCTGAGTCAAACTGAGCAGGTGGGTGGGCGTGCTGTGATCAGAGCAGAGCTTTTTCTGAAACCGTACAAAGAGAGACCCTCCATTTAATGCCAATCAGATCCAAGAATAGAAAACAAAATGTTTTTGAAACAGGATGTGAAACAGTGCAGCGTTTCAGAGACACTGACCTGTTTATTTGCAATTTTAGCCATGTTTAATATGAGCGTCCAGCTTTGTAGCATTATCTGTTTGCTGGGAAGTAATACAAAGCAGTTTAGGCAAGGCAAGTTTATTTATATAGCACAATTCAACAACAAGGTGATTCATAGTGCTTTATAGAGACATTAAAAAACAAAAACAATAAAAAGCACGATTTAAAATTGATTACAGAGAAAAAACACAAAACAAAAAAACAGTAGATAAAATCAGTAGTTAAAATATAAGTTTTGAATTTTAAGCTTAAAAGTGTGGATTTGGTGTTTTATTCAAATGCAGCTGAGAATTAAATAAACTGAGTGTTTCAGCTGATCTGAGGCTTTCTGGGAGTTTGTTCCAGATATAAGGAGCATAAAAGCTGAATGCAGCTTCTCCGTGTCTGGTTCTGACACTGGGATCTGATAAAAGACCGGATCCAGATGACCTGAGGGATCTGGAAGGTTCATACTGGGTCAGGAGGTCACTGATGTATTTTGGTCCTAAACCATTCAGAGCTTTATAGACCAGCATCAGAACTTTAAAGTCTATCCTCTGATGGACAGGCAGCCAGTGTAAAGACCTCAGAGCTGGACTGATGTGGTCCACTTTTTTGGTCTTAGTGAGGACTCGAGCAGCAGAGTTCTCAATGAGCTGTAGATGTCTGACTGATTTTTTAGGTAGACCTGTAAAGATGCTGTTACAGTAATCAAGCCTACTAAAAATGAATGCATGGACTAGTTTTTCCAGGTCCTGTTGAGACATCAGATCTTTTATCCTTGAAATATTCTTGAGGTGATAGTAAGCTGATTTTGTTATTGTCTTAATGTGTTTTTCTAAGTTTAGGTCTGCATCCATCACTACACCCAAATTTCTCGCCTGGTTTGTGGTTTTTAGGTGTATAGATTGACGTTGAAGGTGACCTGTAATCGTTTTTCTTTGGCTCCAAAGACTATTACTTCAGTTTTGTTTAGCTGGAGAAAATTGTGGCACAACCAGTCATTAATTTCCTCAGTGCATTTACCAAGAGCCTGTACAGGGCCTGATATATATTTGTGTGTCATCTGCATAGCTATGATAGTTTATTTTGTTGTTCTTTATAATCTGTGCCAGTGGGGACATGTAAATGTTAAACAGATGGGGTCCCAAGATGGAACCTTGGGGAACTCCACATGTGATACTTGTCTGCTCAGATGTGAAGTTACCTATTGATACAAAGTATTTCCTGTTTTCTAAGTATGTTTTGAACCAGTTTAGTACAGTTCCTGAAAGACCTGCCCAGTTCTCCAGTCGTTTGAGTAATATGTTGTGGTCAACTGTATCAAATGCTGCACTGAGATCCAGCAAAACTAAGACTGACATTTTTCCACTGTCTGTATTCAGACATATGTCATTAAACACTTTGGTCAGAGCGGTTTCAGTGCTGTGGTTCTGTCTAAAACCTGACTGGAAGGCATCATAGCAGTTATTCTGTTTTAAGAAGTAATTGAGCTGTTGAGAAACTGCTTTTTCAATGATCTTACTTAAAAATGGGAGATCGGCCTGTAGTTGCTCATTTGTGTCTTGTCAAGATTGTCCTTTTTCAGTATAGGTTTAATTACAGTTTTTAGTGGTTCTGGAAACACACCTGACATTAAAGAAAAGTTTTCTCTGACTTTTTTCTCTTTTCTGTTTAGGAAATGGCACATTGATAGGAGCATCAGCCAACGTTGTGTGTGCAGGCATCGCTGAGCAACATGGATATGGCTTTTCCTTCATGGAGTTCTTCAAGTAAGCAAAGGCGCCACTAACAGCACGAAGCAGTCCCATGCACAAAGAGGTCATAAACAGCAAGTTTGAAAAGTTCCTCTGTTCTTGGTTTGTGGTGCTGAAATACGATAGGCTATTCAGCCTGAGGGGCTACTTACACATTTATGTCCATCATATGTTGCATTAGAAATTGCCAACAGTGTGTATGAATAGCCTGAGAACATTTAGAGAAAACGTGTCGCACTGAGTATCATGTGACAGAACACGTTTAGTTTGTCTTTGTGCAGCAGGTGCAGCGTTCTGTGAGCAGACTCCAGGAAACAACACGACACGCACGGGTTTGTTATGTAGTGCAAGCAGTGATTTGAGTCTGTGTCCTCTTCAGTGACCCTGTAGAGAAATGTTTACTACAGTGAGTGTGGAGGAAGTCAACCTGCAGCAATATTCTCTCATGTCGACAGAAATAGAAGTCCCCCAGTCATGCTGAACCATGAAAGAGGCATAAACAGTGTAACATATGTGTGACTGATTGAACTGATACTGAGTGAAACCGTCCAACCGTGGAGCCTGATTTCAGAACTCTAGGGTGGTTACAAGAAAAAAAGTCGAATGAATGGCAGAAAATGTGGTTATATTGCAGGCTGGATGGTCAGCAGGCTTCCTATCAGGTTGCCACCTGCTCACTGATAATTTGCACCCTGGCGACACAGCAGTCAGACACGCTTTATGGTTTGCATGTTGGAGAAGCCGAAGGGGTCAGTTATGTTGAAAAAAAGCATGAATATGAGTCTGATTAGGCTTGATATGCCATTGGGTTGGAACTGCATCGCTATTTTATTTAGGAACAGTGGAAATGTAATGCCCGTGAGGGTTGAAAAGAGACAAAGTCAGAGGATTTCTTTTGGGATTTGTGTAACAGATTTGAACAGAGACTTGATTTAACATTAAACTTGTGACACTTATGACTGAACGCGGTGTCTGTGGCTTACTGTAGATTATTGTCATCAAAGATCTGAAAGTGTTTTCACTGGATGGAGTGACAGCGCTTTCATCATAACAATCACAGACAACATTTATACTGATATTCTATCTATACTTACCACCTAACATTTTCTGAAGCGCCGCCGTGAAGGTGACATTTCAGTTTGTAGTCTAAAGAACATTGATGTTCCCATTCCCAGTTCTTCCATGTGAAAATCTGGAGACGAGGAGAGCAGGACCAAGCACCCCCAGACAGAACAGACTGGGCTTCATCATATAACAGCAATAAAATTCTGTGATATAAAAAGGAGGAGCTGAGGAAGAGATGGGTTGCTAAGAGGTTTGCAGATGCTGCAGTTGTTTAAGTTGTGTAATCCTGGCTTGATTTTAAGGAAAATGCTAAATTGATTGGAACTTATTAATGCCTTCTACTCAGTACTTTCTAGTATTCACACACACACATTCTCACACCATTAAATGCCCAAAGGATGTGGACCGGAGGAGTCAGGGATAGGTCCACAGGGACCAACCAAATGTTCTAGCTTTTAGTTCTCAGATGTTTCCCATTGTCTTCCTCTGTTTTAGTGTGTTCCCTGGTCTGATATTTTGTTAGAAGTTAGTTTTCATGTACTGGTCTCTTGTTTTACTGTGAAAGTTTTCTTCAATTCCCTGTGTGGTTTTGCTTCCCCTTGAGTGATTATCCTGTGTGTCTTCACCTCGTTGTAATTCTTTCGCCCATTTTCCCTCATTCCACTCAATAGACCAGGGGCCATAAATAGACTTCCTCTTTGTACTGTTATGTTCCTGTGTGTGTGTGTGTGTGTGTGTGTGTGTGTGTGTGTGTGTGTGTGTGTGTGTGTGTGTTTTCTTCTGTGCTGTCCTGTTCACCTTTTGTTTAAATTCTCTGGCTCCTCGTATTTGCCTTGCTGTCTACACTGTCTATTTTCTCTTGTATTTGGACTTTTTGTTACCTTGTGGATTTTACTATCAGCTTTCTGTTGGAATCCTCCTGCGTTCAGCATTTTGGGTCCTTAAGTCTACACTGTGCACAGCATCACTCTGAAAGGCACACCCTAATCAGCTCAGCTGATCAGCCAGGATTGTGACTTTGTGGCCTAACTCAACTAACGCTATACTCAATTTGTTGTTTTCAGTGAGTTGTCATTTATTCTAAAGACTTGCAGAAGTATTGTACTTCCCACATACCTAAGCTACAGGATATGTTACTATGTTACTACTACGTTTTAATATTGTAATCTGATCTGTAGCAGGTTGCTTCATTGATATTCCTATTTACAGCTAATGAGACTGTGGCTGAGAAGAAAAAGAACAACTTCAGGTGACCTTTGGCATTAAGAAAATTCCACCATTACTTTTTCAGCCTTCGTTACCTGCTCAGTTGGCTCTGACACGCCGCTAAAGCCAGTGAAGTAATTGGTGGAAAATGTGTCAGAGTTGGTTAAAGCTCGTTGACAAATTTCTTAGTGCACTAAAAAGACTCTGGGACGTCTGTCTGCAAAGGATTTCATTGAAATGGAGGGGAACAGTTGCAACCCGTCAGCTCTACTTCTCTCCCGCTCTAGCTGTGTTTACAGTTATTGGACAGGAGCATTGCTCTTGGCTGAAGCACTGTCTGTAATTGGATGTCTGTGGCAAGGGTCACTGCTGTTCAGAGAGACAGGCAAGGGGGAGCGAAGTCTGGGCAGCTGGGATTGACTAGTGCTGTATCAGGAGGATGAATTCAGGGGCCAGATGAGCCCACGGGGGCACAAATGCCTTTTTGATAAGCCATCACAAAGGAAAATGAGTAGCCTCGAATAGCTCAGCAGTTAGCATGGTCCCTGTTGCTTCCTTCGTGCCTCAAGGCCCTTATCATCCACCTCGCCACAAACCATTAACCTAAAGTGCATCACTAAAGTAACAGCTCTGTATGTTGGTCGGTTGAATAGAAACTGCCACGGGTGCTTGTAATGCATTACACTCTAGAATAGACCCACTGCAAAATGTACTTGTAAATGCCTATCAATGTAGCAAATTGCTACAGTTTTGAGACACAAAAACAAATGACATTAGACAATGTAAGGTGCTTCAGAGTGTCTTGTTCTTTTGGACCACATGTTGCTCATGAACAGTCACCTGCAGGAAATCTATACAGAAAACAATAAGCCTCTGCACTACAGAGGCAGGTGTTTTAGCTTTATTTCTAATAAACACTGCAATCACGCTCATACATATTTTTGGAGGTTTTTTTGTGTACCGCTTCACAGCTTAAACACTGCACCAGTGTGCTTTTTGTGCTCATTGAATAGAACAGGTCAACCATTATCACAGGGGAGCAGCGCTGCTCTCTCTGTCCTACAGCCTCCACAGTCAGAGAAGCGCGGCCCATTGGTTTATCTAAAGAGTCTTTGAGATTGCATCAGGACTTTCAAAGAGCTCCCATCATATGCAATTAAGTCATTGTGTGAGATCACAAGGTTTGATGGGGATTTTTAGACAAGGTGAACCCTGCTCCTCTCTGTGGTATATTGTGGTGTCTTTTTCATGTGCCCCGTGTCCCCTCATGATGTGCCTGTGATCGGGAAATAGGTATTGCTCCGTAGAAAGGGATTCACTCATGCAGAGGTGACCTCAGGCTGTCTGACAGCGATAACAGCCAGACAGGCTCATTTTTCCCACAAGCAATATGTGATTATAGTGTAGTTTAAATGAAAAGCATGTGGTATTAACAGAAACCGAGCAGTGTAGTCAAAGAACTGAATTCTCACATTACAAATCAATATAAACACCAAAGCTGAAATGGCCCTACATCTGTGCAGCTGAATGCTGCGTTACTGTCCAGTCTGGAGGTGCTTCAGAGCACTGACAGACCTGTTCTATTCCATGCCTTCTCTGTGGTTCATCAACATATGAGGATGCTGACCTCTGCACAAAATAGGTAGCATTAACCACTTTGCATCTTTTTGCACAATATTATTTCCAGTAGCTGTCGGGTGCATATTGACAGCTACACTAAACGTTTTGTGTGTTTGGCTTGCTAATAAAACCTGTGAGAGCTTCCATTTTAATCAACAAATTCAACACAGATCATCGGCTGCTTTTGTCTTTGTTTAATCAGGACAGAATTTCATGCAGCAGATCTACCACGGCTTGATTGCAAACTGTCATGTGCAAAAACCTAAATTGATGAGAAAGGACTGGACTTAGGAAACTCTTTATTAATATATGGAAAATAAGGTGAAAGGCATTCTATGGAGCACTGAAAAGGAACTATTTTCTTTGGCTCTGGCTCTACTCTGGCAGCTGCAGCTGCAGTTCAACCCCAAGATTGAGAGCGCCACATGGTGATCTAAATCTTGGAAGGGACCACTGGTGAGCTGGGGGGCCAACAGGAAAACAGACTAATAGGTTATTGAAATATGTTGAGCCTGAAGTCAGAGTTTTCAGTGTCTTGAAGGTGGTGCTTTTCATCTGATTAGGTCACCACAGTAACTAGCAGTGTCTGGCGATGGTAGACAAGAAAAGAAAAAGACAGTTCCTTTCAGGTGCATGAAAATGAAGAACGTTTGGGTAGGAAACTAAGAATGTTACTACTGCAAAATGCTTACACCTTCTAGAGAAAAGACATTCACCATACTGAAAGTTTAGAGATGTGATACCAGTACTACAGAAGATGCTTTCTTCTGTAGATCTTTTACTTATTTACTTATTATCAGAAAAAAGAAAATTATAAATTCTAAACTTAATATATATTATCTAAAATCTTTTTAGTAAATCTTATATTATTTTCATCTTTTCTTCACAGTTCCCCCACTTTTGCTACTGATGCGTAAATAATGATAATCACTCAAAAATGACAATGACCATTATGACTCAGTTGAGAAACTTTGAAACTGTTTTTTTGTTACACTTAAAATGCAGAATGTCTTAAAATCATGAAAGTGCTGAAGTGCCTATAAAGCCTTAATATTCTTCAGTCCAAGTACTTATTTGCCATTTCTGCAAGCATATTCACTGGAAACCTCATAATTTAGTTTGAGCAGCAGACATGGTACACTGACTGCAGTTTTCACACAGGCACTTAGACATATAAATCCAGATCCTACGAAGTAGAGACACTGTATAAAACAGGTAAAAACAGAACACAATGATTTACAAATCTCATAACCCCATATTGTATTTATAAGAGGACATATAAAACAAAGAAACAAAAAAAAAAAGCTTAAATTGACAAAATGTACCCTTTTAGGATAAAAACCCCCCATCTCGGTAGAGAGAAATGCATCCAGACACAGAACAGGAAATAGATGGTTGCTGTCTCATTTCAATCAGTAGATGAACTGGCAAATATTTATATTGCATTGACTCACACGCACACACACACACACAAACACACACACACACACACACACTAGAAGTGTGGTGGAAATACCTACATGCTATCATAGAAGTAATGTAGGTTTTTTTGGCAGTATCATATCACATGAATCAACAGTGGTTCCGTAATGTGATCCTTGCAAGTGCTGCAAACATAGCTGAAGTGTGGATCAAGGGCTCGAGCTTGTTGTCTCTGGTTGCTATTGTGGCTCCTGTCCTTTAGCTATTGGTTGCAGCTTTTTTTGTTTTGCCCTTCTTCAATCCTTCAGCACTGTGACGCCAAACTGTGATGATTAGTGTCGTTCCCCTGATGTTCAGGTCCCATCTGCAAACAGGACCTGCTGAGATGCTGGGGGACATCTGGTCACCTGATGTTCGTGTCGATCGAGATGGGCTCCGATCGACACTGACAGGAGGTGGAGAAGCATGCTCTGAGAGCTGGCTTGTTTAAGCACAGTTATGTTAGCGACTATTTGCTGTAGGCAGTGAAGGTGAAATGGTTCTAGGTGATTCTTTTGATCTCCCGCACTCTCTTGTTTGTCTTTTTGCCTAGTAAATGATACTATAGGCTGCTGCTGGCGACGACAGAACCCAAACAGCTAAAATAATCAGTCATTTTGTTGGTTTTCTTGATGCTGATAGCCAGCCCAGACTCACTGCAGGCATGGGCAAACTGGTTGATGAGCTGCTGAAGGTCAGTGTCACCTCTCTGAGTTGCATCATCAGAGGAAGATAATTCTCTGATGAGAACTTTAAAAGCCTTGGCCTTCAGCAGACAACCATATATGACTACCGTAGTGACCCGTAAAGGCAGCTAAACATAAGAAAATGAAAAAGAAAACAAAGTTGTGGGCAGCTGCAGTGATCATCAGATACTCATTCTGAACCCAAATGGTCATCTCAGTTCCTTGAGATCCTCTAAGAAGAGGTCATGTCCAGGTTAACTGAAAATACACACAGCAAAGAGACAGGTAACCTTTTGTCTCTCTGACAATCAGACTTGCACGGTTAACCTTGCCATTTCATATAAGCATCTGTGTGCTTTATACACATAAAACCACACGTAAGCCAAATATAATGTTTATCGTCATAATAATTGCATTTGAATGAACTGTCATCATTTTGTCTTTAATCCTAATATAAAGATTAACACAGATAATATAGCAGCTGTATGTTTATGTTTTTTTTCCAGGCTGATTTGGCCCAAACTTTTTCTCTTCAGTCTGTCAGAGTGAGAGCAACATCTGCTCTCAATGATATTTTAATGATATGTTCTCTTATTTTTTAGTCTTAATTAGTCCTTTTCTGCTTTGATGAAGACTGATGGCTGGCACGCTGAATATACATGCAGTTTTTGTCCTCCAAAGTGATCCGTGGCACAGAGTGAGGATGAACAGATCTCTGGCCCTCGGAGCTGCCATGTGTCCATATAGGACATGGTAGACATCCAAACACGAGCCATCTGCAGTTCAGGAGTCATCTAAGGACACATTTTAATTAAGGAGACTAATTCAGGGGTGAGAAGCAGAAACATACATGGCAGCAGTCACCACCAATGCTTCATCCAGGGGACTACATTTCAGTCATTACATTCAGAAGAAAGCTGGCCTTTAAAGATGTCACCATGTGAAGCCATTTCTGTTTCAATAAACAACTTTGGACTAATGAGATGTGTGCATGCAGCCGAGGACTTTTTAGATTGTTCCGTTGTACGCAATGTGCATGTCTCGGAGCATCTGCTAGCTTTAGCGTGCAGGAAGACAAGCCTTCACCTGCAGGCTGATGTGTCCTTGATCAAGACGCTGAATTTTTAACGGCTCTCAGCGGCTGTGCAGCTCTGACCTCCCTGTGCTGCAGGCTGAGTGAAGACAGAGTAAGTTGTGGAGCTCAGCAAAGTGTCACACATCAATAAGACTGGATTTTGCAATAATTTGGTTTTCTTTATATGAGGAGTTGGACTGTCTGTGGCTGCCAAAGGTCAAAATATGTCTCTCACAAAGAGAGGTGATAATAAAGAGAAGAAAAATCCCTGTAAGATAAAGGTATTTTATTACTTTTTCAAACCTAGCTTTAGTGCCAGGATTTTTTTAATGCCGTTTTTGGTAATATATTTTTTTAAAGGAGAAATTTGAGAGAATAAACCAGGATAAATATAAATGGAAGCTATGACTTCATGTGACATTACACGATGCTTTACACTTATTGAAGCAAATTGCTGTTTGCTTCAGTAAGAGTGAAAGGTATATAGTAGAAAATAATAAAAGTAGTAAACAACATTTCTTGACTTCTTGTTCTGTGTGTACTGGAGCTTACGTTCCTGCTAAACTAACAGCTTCCATTGAATCATGCAACAATAACAAAATAATAGAAGACACACACTGATGGGAACAATGAATACATTTTAAGATGATGACAACAACTACAAAAACACTGCCAACCAGCTCCTTCTCCAAGGCAAGAGACAAATTACACAAGAGTTGGTGGACAGAGGGAGCATTTGGTGAGACTCCAAATAATTTTCCTTAAAATGGTCATATTGGTGGAGGTTGAGCTCTGTGACTTTTCTGAGTGGCTAACTATATTTATCTCAACAAAAGAAAACAAGTGAAGCATAGATCTAGTTCAGGACAATTCATACTATCCTGTTAATTCAAATGGCTAATCTAGGGCACATCTGCAAGCCACTTGACAACCCACCTGTCCCCCTGCTCCTCCTTTATTGCTGTTTCTGACTTTCTGTATATGCCCTGATCAGAGACAGGCCCCCACATGCAGGTTACTGCAGCCCGTAAATCTTTTTATTCCAATAATCCTGACTGAAGTGCTGATCATTGCAACTAACTTGCTCTTCTCTTGTTTTGTACAGGCTAGGATTCCCCATGATGATAATGACATGCATGATCGGCATGTGCTACCTGCTGGCCACGCACATCGGACTGGGATGGAACATGTGAACTGTACCTGCTGCACAGAAATCCAAAGAAACTGTGTGACCACTCCTCCAAGAGTCTGAGTTCACTGTAACGTGATGTGTAACCTGACTGCTCAGTTTACCGGCATTATATGAAGCATTGCAGCCATATTTTTCAAAGCACGGAAAAGTGGTGTCTTTGAGTAAAGTGTAGACCATCAGGGACCAGATTTATCTGAGCTTTGACCAAAATGCAAGAAATTTCTGAAACAAAAATGTCACCAGTCCATTATGGTGTACATGGTGCTATGGCTTCACAGGGTAAAATAACTAGTGTAAGCATTTGAAGGTGTGCTCGCTGATGTCAGACTGTCCGTTCTTTTGGAAAGAGACAAAAAAGAAACAAAAAAAGAAAAAAGTGGCCTGTTTAGAAAACCAATCACGAACATTACACCAGTGGTTTACCAAACTTCTGTTTATATTTACAACAAGATCCAGTGAAAGGGATTTTCTAATGGTTTGTGTCAAAGGCAGCATCAATTTAACTGCAAAGAACCGATGAGACAAGAAAGCAGTTGTAGACTGTGGTCGAAGCATTGTATACCACCTAGTGGATTGTGTACATGTAAACTCACTGATTTATTTCAGCAATCATATTCATCATGTAAATGCTCTCAATGCACTGAACAGCATCTTCTTACTTTATCTGTTTTTCTGTATGCGTTGTACAGCCCAACATCCTGAACAGCCAAAAGGAGAACGAAAAAATAAATCGAGGAATAAATTTGCGTGTAAGAATTTATATTTATTACAGATGCTCATCAGGGAAACACAGACTTTAGACACTATTGAAAAACTTTAGACTCGTCTATTCTGCAGCCAGAGGTCAAAAGACCTTCCAGGAATGGTGATGCTATTTTCCAGAGGATTGACTGTTGATCCCTAATCTGGAACCTAACCAGCTCCAAAAGGTACTATGGCGATATAGTCTGGTAAGTGAACCACCTACTTAGCAGAGTAAACCCTGAAGTTCCTTGGATAAGCCCAAAACCTGCAAAAGCCAGTGTACTCCTAGTGTCGGTCCCAAGCCCAGATAAATGGGATCCGGGACAGAATCTTTGCCAAGTCAAACGTGCAGCTCATGAAGAATGTGATTCCCTAATCAATCGTTGGTTGATCAGGGTGCCACCGCAAACTGCTACTGTTTGCTGAAGACAAAGAGGAGAGGGTGAAGATTCGTGGATGTAGTTAAGAGAACATGCAGATGATTGGTGTGACAGAGGAGGATGCTAGGGATAGGGTGAGATAGAAGCAGATGCTCAGATGTGCAGATGTGGCGACACCTGAAAAGAAGCAGCTGAATGAAGAAGAGGAAGGGTTTTGGTACAGTAGAAAACAAACTGCGTTTCTTGTTTCTGTGTGGGAAATGCTTTCTGGCTCTTCAGTTAGACCGACTCTCTCGAGCTACATTCACAGCTCTACTTTCACCGTTTACCAGCAGTGAGAGAGTAAAACTGACTCTTGTTTTTCCTTTAATGAGTCAGGCTCCAGGCCAGCAAAACTCCAGCAGCACAGATCGATGTACAGCATGCAGTTCCTGTAGGACTGCTGTTCCATATTAACACTTTTTACTCCCAGGGGAACGTGAAGTGGGGGACACCTCAGCTGGTTAGAGTCACTGGAAATATGTAACATCCACTTTGTTGCCCCTGTCGAACTGTGCTCAGGATCACGGGTAGTTAATTAAAGACCTCAGAGAGCTCTATCATTATACATTAACGTATTTAATGTGTTTCAGGATTTAGAGTCATCTATAGCTGGAGGCTCAACCTGCTTTTTTCATCTCCACTAAACTTTAAAACCTCTCTTTCTCTGACACACACAGTCACACGCTGTCAAGAGTGTTTTTAGCATGGGATGACAATGACAGCGCGTCTGCCAGCAGATCTACCAGGATCTGAAATACTTCACTATTTACTCAGTGGATCACCCTGATTTTTTTCCTTTAAACAGAGAGTTGTGGTTGCCAGATGATGAAAAAAAATTTGTAAAAGTGATCCCTGCGTAGGTTCCTCATTCATCTAATTTGTCCCTTGTGGAGGTGACTCTTGGTATCCCTTCCCAGGCGCTTCGACCTGCACTCACACCTTCCCTCAGGTGATCGATACTGCAAAACATCCAAAATCCCAAAGGGGGATCTCTGAGCCAGCAAGCTCTTGTTTTTGGTTGAATTTTGCACCCTGTCATGTCTACTGAGTTTTTAGTGCTTTCCTCCCACGTCTTCTGTGTTCCCCCATCTCTGTCTTCATGTTGGCATTAGGTCTTCATCTCACACTTCTGGCAAATGCTGTTACAAGGTTACTTCCTGTTTTACTCTGAAAGTTAGTTTCCTCACGCATCTTGTTTTTGTTTTACTTCCTGCTTTTTTCCCTTCTGATCTCATCAGTGTTACTAGTTTAATTTCACATGTGCTTTTTACTTATCCATTTCTCATTTTGCAATAAGCCCCCTGGGTGTTTATAATCTCTGTTTCTTAGTCCTGTTTGGACTTTTGGACTGTTTTATTACAGAATTAAGCTTCATAGGTCATACACAAAACAAAGATTTTTCTTCAGCACCGACAAACATTTAATTTTTCTTTTAATGACTGAGGTCTCTGACAACATTTGTCCAATTAGGCTGACACAGCTGCAGAGGCTTGCATCCTGGCTGACACGGAGACACTTTTTCTGTTGTTTGCTTTGCTGTTTTGCATAACTGCTGACATTTTGTTAGAGCTGGAGCTAATCCAGCTCTTCTGTGAGCCACTTATCTGGTGTTCAGTTTGGTCATTCTCAATGACAGTTGAAGCATATTTATTGTGGTCACTGACCCCAATAATATTTTCCAGAAATCCAAAGAGAGTATTACAATAAACGGACAATTTTTAAACTATTGTTATCAGACAACTACTGTGAGAATTCATGGCCTTTGCTCTCTTAGTTTTCCTCCCTGGATGCGATGTGCTCACCTTTAAACGCTCAGAGGTGCCGCACAACCATGATCCTTCCTGTTTTGCCTGAACAACATTCAGATGTAAAAGCTCCTTTGATTAGACAGAGCATGGCTGCGTTAAGGAGACCTGGAGATGACATTCAAAGATCAGGATGACTTCCTATCAGAGCTGCTCACTGATGCATACGCTGAGAAATGTCTGCCATGTTTCAGGAGGTTTCCACAGAGTTATGCACTTTTGGGCCTTTCTCCAGCCGAGCAGGCTGAGTCAGGCAGCCTGCCTGCGTGTACCAGATAAAATAAAATATTCATCTGGTTCTCCTGGGCTTCCCATATGTTAATGGACTGAACAGATAACATTCTGATAACAAAACTGTAGCAGTTTGTGATGCTCATGAAAATATCAGCCCTGTTCACCTTTTCATACCTTCTTTTTCTTGGGAATATCTGTGTCTTTCCAACCCATTGTGAAATACTTTTTTTTTTTTTTAGCTATGCATTACTCAGGTTTAAAGCAGACATACTCTGTCAGAGTGACACTGAGAAATGCTTTGCTGACAAATGCGAAACATGAGATGAACTATGCTAAGCTAACAAGCTAATGGAGGAGTTAAGAGAAGAGTGGAAGCTGCTGCCATCTTTCACTAACCCAGCATTGATGAATGCAAGAAAAGGAGCTATTAACCTCCCAGTTATCATACATCATGTTAGTCCAATAAGAACTTTGTTATCAAGTTCTTGACCCTATTTATTTTGTATGGACAAGCAAATGTACCTCTGTGATATACAGCAGTGTATCAGGGTTACTGAAGGTAAAAAACCAAACAACAAATTTACAAGAAAAAGAGGCAGTACCAACGTTAAGTAATGAAACTTAAGAAATTCACAGCTGAAAACAGTTGATTCACTTACCCTAACTTCACCAATCAGGTTAAGTGGGCGCACAAAGCTAAGTTAGCCCAGGGGTTCCCTGCACTTTCACATGAGAAGGGTGGAGCTGGTGAGATCTGACCAATCAGAATTACTGGCAACAAAGTCGCTGATTTTACACAGGAAAAATAAGCTGTGTCCCAAAACGTAGTCCGCATCCTTCGGAGGACCCGGCCTTCACGGTCTACGTGGCCCGGGTCCTTCGAAGACCAAGAAAACTGGAAGTGCGAGACTGTGAAATGTGACAGTCTAGCTTTCAGATTTGCATCACCGCTGTCTCGGTGGAGTTAAATAAACTGTCTACGCCGTCTGCTCCTTGTTATCTAAAATATAACAGGACACTGGCGTAAATACTCGACTGTCTCACACTTCTGTTTAATCAGTTTTCTGTTTGACGTTTATTCAGCTGTGTGAAAATCCCGGAGGAACCCACCCGATGGATTAATAAAGTTTTATTTAATCTAATCTAATAACTTTGATCTCAGCCAAACCAATTTACTCTGGAGCAAATAAAACACTGAAAAAAGCCCAACAATTACATTTTTACGTTAAAATATATGTTAAAAGTTTATTTTGTGACCCAGAAAGATTAATAAGAGTAATATTAAAACTTAGTAGCGGCCACCATTGTTGGAAACTGGAATTGGCTGGGCCATGCTATGAATTCTGGGATATGGTGGGCCATGAAGGACACACCCGACCCATCCTTCAAATTCGGGGAAATGAAGGACGCATTTGTCGGCCACATTTGAAAGAGTCGACGAATTGGGACAGCCTTCGTGGCCTGGCTGTGATTGCCTTCAAATGCGGCCTCCGAAGGATGCAGCCTACGTTTTGGGACACAGCTATAAACTACAGCTACCATGGGGGAACCAATCTAAACAGATTATACATTAATACACACTGAGAGCAGTGCAGCAGCTGCAGACAAAGAAGCAAAGTAGTACAGTAAAAAGAGCAGCGGTTTTAAAAGTGTGCACTTTAAATATTTTGGCCAATAAAACTGGAAAAAAGCTGGTACATGAAAAAAGTCTGACATATCTGAAGGTGGGGAAAAAAGCTGCCTGAAAGGTAAACTGTGTGGGTTAACAGACTTATCAATGGTACAACTCTATCATTAAAACACACAATCACTTGTGTATAGTGGTATGTTTCATCCATTTATAGACTTTTCTTTGTAGAAGTTTGATATGTCCTACATTTTTGAAATCACCATATCAACACTTACACTCCTTAAACGTGCCACCCATATACCATGTGTGGCTGTGATAAAGCTGCTGATAACCACAGCTGAATAAATCAACGTTAACTGGAAATCTGCATCTGTGTTCTTTAACTTGAACACAACCCACTCTACCTTACCACTCTAAACCAGTTAAACTTCCTGGAGACAACATTCACTCTTTTTAATTCCAGTAATTCATTAAATTATGTTTAAAATGTTAAAATATTTAATGTCTAAAGTAGATGCTCTATCATGATTACATATTAATGCTTATAGAACAATAAAATGAGTCTTCTAACGCTGACTCAAACTTCAGATCCTCCTACTGTCCTTGCAGAGAAGATAACAGTTTTGTTGTTTTTGTTTTGTTTTTTAGCTAAAGTGGTCCTGATGTGCTTTGTACTGACTTGCAGTACAAACCTATTTTTAATTCCCTTAATGTCACACAGGTGATTCTTTACTCATGTTGCTCCAAACTCCACCCAAACAGGTGTTTTCACCTATTTTGCCCCATTTCTTTTGCCTTTCTGACTGGAGGGTGTGTCTGTTCACATTTCTTTCAATACTCTCAGTTTTGATGCACTTATTAAGCCTTTATCAGTCTTGCACAAACTTTATGACCTTGCT